TGGACATCAATATTTCCCTAGATAAATTCTTCTCAGTGGTAGAGAGTGAACATCTGGGTATAACATACTGAGATATTCAGGTGGCCATCTTCGGATGTTGCATCTTGATTACTAATAAGTGTATCATTCATCCTGACCTTGGCCACTGAGCAAAATCCGTGCCTGTGTGCTTTGTACAAACGTGTACATGTGATGTGGAAGCGAGCAAAAGGGCACGTATGCGTTCCTAGTAGTCTGTAAAAACAAAACAAAACAAAACAAAACAAAAAGTGTGTTATGGGAGCGAGGAAGGGGAGACAGAAATCCCTCTAGTTTTGCTAAGATGCTCGAGCAGCTGGGCACAGAGAGGAGTTACCAGAAGGTAGGCTAGAAGTCTGTGCCCGAGCACCGTCAGCATCGCAGTGCGCGTAGGTCGGGACGGATACGCTGAAACCCAACCCGTAGTGTGCACCCGAATTCCGCTGAGCGTTCTGGTTCTTTCCCAACCCAGAGGTTTAGCTTCTTCAGTCTGGACTTTGCCTGGTGTTGGGAGGGGTCCGGAGACCCGCAGAGCCCCCTCCTTTTAGTTCCGGGAGCGCGCCGCGCGCGGGACTCCGCACGCACAGGAGCGTTGGTTCTCAGATCCGCCGCAGCGGGCACGCCTTGCCCCCTAGTCTAGAGCCTTGGGAGCCCGCACGTCGTGGTGTCCCAACCGGCTAAAGGAGGGCTCCATGCGGGCAGCCTCTGGGGTCGCCTCCGTGGTAGAAGCGACTCCCAGGGGTACAATTTTGCTGTTTGCCCTCCTGGGCCTAGGAAAGGAGGAAGGTGTTTGTTTACAAACAGGCTCCGGTTTCTTCCCGCTTTAGGAAATCGTTCCTGGGTTGCACGGACAGTGTGCCCCAGGGCGAGAGGTACTGGCAAAGGAGGCAGCGGCCTAGACGCTCTTAAGATTCCCGTCCGGTGTTGGTGGGTCGCATGCACCCTTTCTTTCTTCCCTGGGCTTTCCCTCTTACTTTTTGTCAAAGACGTGGGTAGGACTAGCTTCTTAAACTCAAGAAATAAATTTAAAATTTCTCACGCTAGAGGGGAACGCAAATTCTCAGAACACGTGGGAGGCACCTGAGGTTGTGGTTCACGCCCCTCGCCGGCCTGATGCTCTGGCGGGGCCCGCGGGCGGGGTCGCCGGAAGGGTGCGAGGCCGGGTCCCTGCACCCGGGCGGGGGAGGGCATGCAGGAGCCGCATTCCGGCTTCAGCCTAGGTTCAAAGATTAGAAAAACAGGTGTTACGTCGCCATGCTAATTCACTCACTCGGTAAACGCGGCTCAGAGAGTTGTGTGCGGAGGACTTAGCGAGGGGGCCGTCCCCACAAGGCCGTGCATTCACTTTGTTTATTAAACAGCTACTCGGTTCATGGACTACTGAGCTTCACTGGGACGCTGGAACAGCACGCTGGGCCCCCCAGGATGTCATCTTTGGTGTGAAGACCCACCCACTCATTTTGCCCATTTTCCTTCTGAAAGGAAAATACTGCCTTTCTTCCGGTGAAACGCTCTGTTGTATGGAGAGCAGGGCACCTCCTGACGCCCCAGGGTGTCTCTGCCATGGGCAAGGGTTTCGGACCCTAATGAAGCACTAACACACCTGCACGTCTTTGAAGGAGAGGTATGGTTTAAGTAACCACTGACTTAACCGAAATTCTTTCCAGAGCAAAGTCGGAATAGAAAACTGCTTAACTCTGAAGTGCCATTGTTGCGCCCGGCCGCTCCATTTACCCATAAGATCTGTCCCGATTGAGGGTGGTGGGAGAGTCGGGGAGAAGGGTCAGGGAAGGTTTTTTCACCTTCCCCAAACACACACCCCCTGTCTTTAAATGCAGTAGTTAAGTTGATCTTATCTGGTCTTCCTGGAGTGTCGTGTATAAGAGAGTGGCACCACATCTCTCTTAGTATCCTTACTCCTTTGGAGTGTAGCACTTGGAGGTTGGAACCCTCCCAAAGCCAGGTCTCTAAGCGGCCACAAACTCTGGGGAAATTACTCCTTCTAGATTAGAGCCCATTAGCCAGATTCCAGCTTTGAAACACCTATAAAATCTTTATGTTCCGTTTTGTCTTATTCTTTTTATCCAGACCATTCACCTCTTCTTGCCAGGTGCTTCCCAGATGTGTAAATATCCCCAGAAAGCTCCCGTTGTCGTTCTGTGAGCTTACTGCCATCGGGCGGCAAGGAGGTGGCAGATGTCTGCATTTTTGAACAAACACTCTTAAAGTTGCTGGGAATATCAGGAAAATGGCACAACCCCTCTTCAGAGTGTATGTTTTCTCCGCTGCAATTATCGCCACAAAGGAGAGGATGAATGCAACATCACTGGCGTTCTTCCTGTCTTTTACCGCCGCTGAAACACCTGCCTCCGAGTGTACGTCCAGAAGAATCGTGGTCACAAGCGGCACCAAAAAACAAGCGGGGAATCGCCTTCGTAGGGAGTGATTCCAAGTAGTAGTAATTATTTTGGGGGCAAGTCAGCTTCTAGCTGTTGCTAGCTGTTGTCTTTCTTCAGATGACAGGAAAAAAGCAATTCAAATCAGAGGGTGTCTTAATTTGTCAGCGAGAGTACTTACAAGCGTTTGTTTAAGTGGGTCCTGTTGGGGGAACTGTGAATGTTGTAAATTTATTGATGCTGAATGTATCCTTTCGTAAGGATATTACGTTGGACTTGGGTTTCCGGAAACAAAACCCAACAAAAAAGTCTTCACTCACCTTTAAGCTGACAGATTGTTGCGACGTATCTATGTATCAATCACTCTAACTCTATTTTGTGCTGAAATGTTAACGTCTTTTCCTCTAGAGTCCCCTATCTGCGCCCCCCCCATAAGACAACCCCTAGGATGAGCTTTCCACGGTGAACAAATCAGCCCCCAAACTCGCGCCATTTCGAACGACTCTCCTCTTTGGGATTAATTTAAAGACAGATAGATATAGATATAGATATAGATATAGATATAGATATAGATATATAAATCTTCTCCGGCGATGAATTCAGTGTCGCTGGGGTTTCAGAGAAACGTGGAAGAGAAAGCGCAACACCGGCGGGTGCAAGCAGTGGGCCCCAACACTTGAAAATGGGAATGGCGCGGCCGCGAACTCGGCCTTTGGGTGACTCGCGCTCGCAGTCTGGGCGACTCCAGCCTCGTCGCCAGGAGCCCCAGTCCCCCGGCTCGACCTCTGCGGCCTCAGGCCGAAGCCCGCCGCTTTCGGACGCGCGGGGCACAGCGGGGCCAGCCCTCGGGACTAGGTGCGTAGCCACTCGACCCCAGGGACAGCTGGGAAGCGAGGGTCCTGCACATCACCCGCGAGGCCCCTGGAGGCCGGGAGCAGCGGCCGCTGCCGGGCATTGCCGACACCCGCGCCCAGAGCTCGTCAGGAGCGCTGCAGCCACGCGGGTAGCGGAGAGGCGAGCGGGGAGCCGGGGCGCGCAGGGGGTGGTTCGGGTCGTGCTCGCGTCACTCAGCCCGGCCGGCCAATGAGCGCCTCTTCCCGCGGCAGGGCGAGCCAATTGGACGCGCGGAAGTTTGTGAGTGGCATTAAGGGAGGGCGGGAGAGAGGGAACCCGGGAGTGAAGTTGAAGCTAAACCCGGTGAGCTATAAAGAAGTTACAGGGGGGCGTTTTCGGCTTCCAATTAGGAATAATACTGGATTCGTAGCAACTACGGAGGAGGAGGATTCTAAAACCACCTCACCCGTCCCAAAGCCTGCATCCCCCCCTCCTTCTCCCACGCACCCCTCCCCCAATTCATGACCGAGAAAAGAAAAGGGAGCCAGGACGCGCTCCGCTCCTCTCTGCCGGTGGGAAGCCTAGAGGCCGGAGGAGTTGGATGGTAGGCATGAGTACAATTAAGAGGTGGGCGCCTCTACACCCTTTGCCGCCGGCGGGGACTGAAGGTAGGTGAAGCGAAGACACCTTGCGCCCGCCCAGAGGCACCCGCAGCTCTGCGGCGGACCGGGAGAGGCCGGTACGCCTCCCACTGCCCCCCTCCCCGTGCCTGCGAGGGGCTGTCATGAATGTGCCACCTGTTAACCTGGCGCTGCCGTGCCCGGCGTGTTGCCGCTCCCGCTGGGCAGGGAGAGCCCTGGGTCGCCTTGGGAGTCCCGAGGGACTTGATGCGTAAGTGCCACTTTTTGTGGAATCCCTGAGAGTTGAGACCCAAGTTAGAGAGATAGCCAAATTCCAGATCTGACCAACTGGGGGGGCCTGAAAGGCGGCCTGAGCCCTGTGGAGGAATTCTGATTTGTGGAACCCTGCTTTCTGGGACGTGCGACTGACCTGGGCGCGGGCACGGGGACCGGCGACTGAGGGTCTGCTAAGTGTCTTCAAAAATATGAATTTTGTTATTTGGGCAACTTCCCAGGGGGCTGGAGTATGTGGTTGGCATGGATGAGGGAATGCGAGCATTATTTGCAGGGGGCTCGGTCTCGCCGCCGATTCCTCCATACCTTAAAAAAACAAACAAACAAACATACAAATATACGCACAAACAAACACCTGGAGAGGCGCGCTGAGGCCCTTTCCGGCCGTTTTTCGGAATTCGGGGAGTGTATGGGTGATTGCGGAGCTGCAGATCCCTTACGCTCTGATGCTGTTGTCTTCACAGTGGCCTGAAAGAGTTGTCCGGCGTTCCTGTGCTTCCCAAGTTCTTCCCAAAGGAGCTCGGAGCCCCCTCAAATGCCTCGGGACTGAAGAGCAAACGTCGGGGATTATTATGTCGATTTTTTGGGGACCGGGTTTGGCCGCGCCAAACAGAAGAAAAGGCTGGCTTCTCAGGGGTCCCGTCGGCATCTGATACCCAGAGACTCCTAGGATTGTCCAGATTGCCGTGGATCAACAACTTTCCCACATTCGCGTCCTGTATTTTTAAAGAAAATAATTTTCTCTTCGCTGCGTTGGTCTTTCACTGACATCAGTACACTGAAGCAGACTTCCGTCTCTTCAAAGTAGGCGCTATGTTTTTGCCAATATGATCTCTAATTGAGAGTTTATTTTTGCTTTTGGATGAATCTGTGGAGCTTATGTTGTAAGAAGAAAGGGAGAACGAGACACAATGAAAGAGAAGTCCAAAAACGCTGCGCGGACTAGGAGGGAGAAGGAAAACAGTGAATTTTATGAACTGGCTAAGTTACTGCCTTTGCCCTCAGCGATCACCTCGCAGCTGGACAAAGCATCCATAATCAGGCTCACCACCAGCTATCTCAAAATGAGAGTTGTGTTCCCAGAAGGTAAGTGACTCTGCCCAGATGGAATTTCAAAGGCAGAAGGGGTAGAGGTTTGCCAGTGAGTGAGCCTACACCACGGAACAGAGGATTGCATTCACACGTACGTACACACTCTCTGCAAAGGGAAGTTTAGCATGGCTGCTTGACTCAGGACCTCTCTGAACTTAGATTCCTGTTGCCTTTTTGTGGCCCTTTCTACTTCCCCATTAATACTTTCTCTCCCATGCATCGGATATGTTTGGTTGGGATGCAGCCCAACAGTGCTTTTGTCAACACTTCAGATACTGAGCTCAACTGAAAGTACAAGTAATCCAAACATGACTGACTGACTTTCTTTCTTCCTTTCTTTCTTTAATTCCTCGTTAGAATTGTATCTAGCAGAAGGCAGGAACATTGCCAAATTCTTGTATTTTTGCTACATATAGATAGACCCGTGTACATGGAGCTAGCTAAGCTAGATAATAATTTCTAAGTTTATAGTTCTACAGAAGAGAAGCAGGCATATTTAGGAACAAATTTGTCCTGGATTTACCCAGTCTCTTGATTGCTTATAGCAAATGTATTCTGAGTTTTTGAGACACTCACAGATTCTGAAACTAACTCTGGGTCTTCATGATTTGCAACTCCGAGTTTGGTATTATCTCTGAGATAAAAGGCTGGGATCCAAATACTTAAGGTTGAATCAAGAAGACTAACCCGCTTGGAAACTATCTTCTAGGAGGCAGGTTGGCAAATGGGTCCTGGGAAAATTGTCTTTTAAGGCCTAGAAGGAAAAACAGCTGAGCTGGTCATGATTTAAAACATGTATTTAGATGATCAAGATTCACTGTGTGACGACAGAGCAGCCTTCAAAGAACACTGTCCTGTATAAAACCATATATACTCACTAGGAAAAGAATACTTCTCTCTTCCATCTCCCCATCCTTTCCTTTACCCACATTCAAATAATATGTACAGATTTAAAAAAGTATTTTAGATGTTTCTTTGCTAGAGGAGAGAGATTGGGAAATATAAAGGAGAGAATACAAAACAAACAAAAAATGCCAAGAGAAAGAACCCTGTTTATTTACAAACCAGAATGTCTTATTTGACCCACAGAGGTTTATGTTATTGTTGATTTTGGGTGTTTGGGGTCTATTGTTTTCTTTTAAGGAAATGGGAAGGAAATAGTCATTATCGGGCTTGGAGTTTCACTTTGTTTGATCTTGACTAGAAGTTATTATCTGAATCAAAATCTCGCAAAACATGTCGACAAATTAGTCAGGGGCACTAAAGGAAAACTTTCAAATTATAGTTCAATTTTACCAGAGAACTACAAGGAGTGTTATAGTTGTTTTGTCTTAAAGCAGTTTTTTGAACAGTCTCACTTGACCGTGGAAACCACAGGAGGAGAGGAATCAAAACCTAAAGTTACTGAAAAGTTAAAAAGAAAGAAAGAAAGAAAGAAAGAAAGAAAGAAAGGGCACTTATATAGTAAAAACCATATTTCCCATTCAAACTGTGCTGAGAATTGCTGGTGGGAAAAGTACTATTATGCTACACTGTCTTCTTCTTCTTTTTTTTTTTTTTTTAAGAGATCTCGTTGTCTTTTATACTGTCAGCGCCTACTTTATAAAAATAAAGCTATTGCGAACTCGGCTGGCCGCGCTGTTCCTAACAGGATTATTAGCAGTGATTTGTCAGCCCCTGTGGTCTCAGTGGGCTCCCTTTCTGCGTGATTTCTAGCGGGTCTCGTCAATTATCAGTGCCGATGTCGCTCGCTGTTTGATCAGAAGAAGCATATGGTGCTGCTTGTGGGGCTCCGGGTAATCGCGGGAGGAAAAGAATAGGGGATCGGCGTTCCCGGGCGGGCACAGAAAGAGGGCTGGGGGCGCCCAGGGAGTTGCCGGGCTGGGGGCGCTCGTCTTTGTCGCGCAGATCCCCTGCTGGCGCGGCCGGGAGGGTTTCGGGCTGGTTTTTGTTGTTTTGGTTTTGTTTTCTAAGAGAACAAGCTGTCTTAAGTGCTAACTCCACAAATTATAAATCTCTTGATAAATAGGAAGAACAGAAAGTAAACTCTCTTAGCCAACTTCTTATTTTTAAAGAGAGCACTGGCGAAGACTCCCTCTGGGGTCCCCTTGGTGGCCGGGCGGATCCCCTGTGGCTACTTTAAGGCGACTGTGCTTTCTGCAGCCCCCTCACCTTCTTCCGGAGCCCGGGGCCCCTCCCCTCTCCCTTCTCCTGTGGACTAGTGTGAGTTTATGGGGAGGAGGGGATGGACGATGTGTGAACTCTGGGCACATCATTTATTTCTCCAGCTACTGTTGAGCTCGTAACTCACTGGCAGTCTCCACCGGTGAGTTGGACAGGGTCATCCGAACAGCTGGCTCCTAGGGATGAGGTTTTAATTTTGAGGATAGATCAGCTTCAGAAATCCAAAACCCAGACAGAGCCCTTTAAAATATTAAACGATAACAACACCCCCCACCCCCGCAAATCCCAACATCTTTCAAAGGAGTGTAATAATCACAAGCGGCAAAACCAGGCACAACCTGCAGAGGGTGCTAGATTTGGGTTCAGCTGTGCAGTGAAGACAGCGAGTAGACAAGACTGGGTCCATGGCAGTGGGGGAAACTGGGTGTTTTCTGTGGAAGTAACCCTTTTTAGGAACGAGAAATGGAAAGAATTTGAAGATGTAGTTCATGTTTACATCTATCTTGATCCCATTCCAGAACATATAGGTCTTAAATTTTGTTCTAAGGATGGAGTAAAAGATAGCTATTTCACCATGGTAAGCATTCTGTCACATATAACATAGGGATTTTGCAAGGTATATAATCTAAAATAATCATAAATCTGATGACATCTCAGTTATAGGCACAACAATGACTATAAAACTCCATGGTTTTGGTTCAGATTACATTTCATCTACAGTATTAATATCAAAAGACTTAAATCAACAAACAGAAATCTTTCCATACTTATATTTGAAAAAATAAACAAATTCTTAAAATATAGCTAATGCCCCATTGTTAAGTATAGTTCCTACCTCCCCCAGGTTCTTGTAGATTCCTTGTCTAGGGGCAAACTTCAGCTTTCACTTATCTGAGTAGATAAAATTGAGCTCTTGAAAGAAAAACGAGAGATTGAGAACATAAGAACAGGATATGGGTGGCTGGGATAACTAAGAATAAAGCAATAGATCGGCGGCTTCATACTTAAAAAAAAAACGCAGGAAAGATTACTGTGAAATCATTAAAACTGCGTATCTCCCATTGGCAGCATATTCCATTCTGAAATAACCTTGCGAAGAAAAAACTTGAAAAATGTATGTCTTTAGTGTTACCAAAGCTAGAAAAGCAGGATAAAAAAGAGAGATGGTGTGCTTTTGTGCGCAAAATAAGACAAATTCAACTAAAAAGACATATCTATTTGTTATCCAGATATAATACAGTTTTGCTGGGGGTGCAGTGGGTTGCTGAACAACCTTTGAAAGGATCAGACATGTTTTCAAATCTATAGCCAGTGGGAATCTTGGTAACATCACACTACCAATTATTCATTGTAAAGATGTCTTGGGAAAATAAAAATAATCACAGAATTGAAATTAGTAACTGTGCAGGATAGGGAGTCTCTACAAAGACTGGAAGGACAAGGATGATTAAACAAACCTCCACAGACCCTTTCTATAATATTCACCTCAAGATTGAAATCCTTAATCGTCTTATATTTTTTTGAGGCCCAGAACTGAAAGAGAAAAAGAGGCCCCATTTCCCACGTGGATGGGTGATTTAAGGCTGTTTTTCTTGCTGCTCGGGGAAATGATTGAGCATTAGGTTTCCATGTTTATTTTCTTACAGAAGTTTTTCTCATTTAAAAGCCTTTAAGCCCAGTTTACGCTCCACGCTGGTTTTCTCTGTTTAATTCCAGTTTTGATGTTGACTTAAAATGTAGAGTGCAGAACTAAACTCCATACAGAGCATTTGCAAGGCAGATTTATGTGCTAGAAATTGTAGATCAGATCAATGAAAAATATACTTTTTTTTTCTTTAAAGGGAGTGGTCACTAATAAAAACAATCACAACAGCAAAACAGGGCATTATAAGCTATAGCAAGTTGTTTTTAAGCAGGGTACAATCACACACCTGAAGCTAAAATCACACTAAATTTCCAGAGGACAAATATGATTTCTAGGGGAGTTATTTTTCAAACCTGGGGGAAATCTCGGCAGCTTGGAGCTTTTGCAGACACATAAGTGGACACAATTCGAGCCCACGGATTCTGGCTGCATTTCTCTATGTCGGCCCAGGTATTTCTCAAGAGAATGAGGTTTGGAGCCAACTAACACCTTATGATGTTAGCTGTCCACCCACTGCCGGTCTCTGATTCATGGAATTTTAAATTTTCCGTGGAAGGAGGACAACCCTCTAGTATTTGGCAAGGGGGCTGCTACTTAGTACTAAAACACTGTTCGAGAAGTGCCGAGCAAACTTTCTGCATGCAGTCCCCATCCGGGAGGCGGTCCGGCGCGGAGTCGCTCTTCCTCGGTGGCTCGGGACAGACCGGAGACCGAAACCTCTGCAGCTCTCGGGTACGCTACGAAGCACGCAGCGGGGACAAGCCTGTATGCTGCTACTCGCAGGCCACGTTGGCGCGGTGAGGCCCATTCTGTCCCGGCCGTGGGGGGCGGCAGACGAGGGGGCGCCAGCTGGAATCTCCGCACGGTCCATACCAGGTCTCTGCCCTCCAAGGTTCGAGGACGTTCCAGCTCGCCTGCCCAAGCAGAGGCCGGGCCGGTGCGGGCGTGCTCCCTCTGTCATTCGTCCTGCCCGGGCCACTGCCCCAAGGTCGGTCTGTTGTTTAAACCTGAAGTCGAGATCCTGCCGGAGCGGACGGTAGTGCGGCGGTCGAGTCCGGCCGCAAAATGGAACACAAGCCCGACACGCCTGAACAGCCAGGCAACCCCGTCCGCCCACCCGCGCCTGCCTTTGGGGCGATGTCATTGCCCCTCCCGGCCACTTTTGAAGACCTGGAGCCCTGGGGAGACACCACTTGACGTTTTTCAGTGTCACGCAGGCACTGTTGTCAACCCCGCCTGCATTTTCGTCCCACAGTTTAGTTGGGATTAGGCTGAAACCCTTTAGCTCCTGTTCTCTTCCATGCAGCCTATGATGCCGAAGGCCAGCTTTGCTGGCCCGCTCCATCCCAACTTGGAAGCCCTAGCTCCAGGGCCAGAGCTCAGCAAGGGTACAGAGACAATCAATGCTGTGACCGTCAGTCTCCACCCCAGATTTATAACTAACATTAGTGTATCCCCGGGGCGCGGCCAGGGGTCTCAGAAGCACGCAGGGGAGAGCACGGCACTCAGTGCCATTGCGGATTGCAGAACACACAGGGGAGTTCGGGACACACACGGTAGGGTCCAGGCTGTTGCGCGGGACAAAGCCCGGCCTGAGCTGCTATCCTCGCGCTCAGGAGGTCGGCCACACCCTCCAGGTGGCCGGAGGGGACCTCGAGCAGGGAGGGTCACAGCGCCCGAGGCTTGAGGGTGGGTATGCCTAGATGCAGGAAGCAGCCTTCTATCCAGTGACCACTCCTGGCGGTCTAAGGGCTTGTCTAAGGGCCCCCAATCTCCGTCCCTCTCTTCCTCAGTGAGCACAGCTTCTGAGGCCCCCGAAGCCTTAATAGGAAGACCGATAAGTTGCTGGACAGGGGTAGTGGAAGGAGCCCAGGCGGCAGAGACAAGTCCCTCCAGGACCCCATGTTAGGAGCAGTGTCTGGAAGGGCTTTTCCCACTTCAGTCACCAAGTTGTGGTCAGATCCTGGGACAGCTCTTCCAGTCCCCTTCCCATTCCCATATTACCTAAAAGATATATCGGGATCTGTCAGTCAGATGAAGCTTTCTGGGAACTACTATAAGGAGGACACATTTCTACTGAGATATAGTTTATTTATTAAAGAAAAGGGGGGAAAGAACAGTAGACCAAGCTCTTCTCTTCCTCCTCTTCCTGTCTGAGTGAAGGAGGCAATGATGCCAGGTCTGTAATCTATATTTTGTCAAGGGCATGAAATTCATTCCGAAGGAAAAGCTCGATCAATTTATTTTTGCTGCTTGTAATAACACAGCTGGATGATGCTTTGAGCTCACGCTAGACTGGGGCTCATCATTCATTCGCCAAGAACGGGCCTAAATTGTGCCTGTGGGATTAGGTCAATTTTAGTGGATCTACTTCGCCTCATTTGGTTACTAATTGGTTTCTTGTTTTATAAATCGAAATCTCATTTTCAGGAAATTACAAAACCCGTGCAGTCAGTCCATTGAGGTAATCCTTGGGTCAGGGGGTATTTAAATGGAAATGCCTCAACCGAGCACTGAGGGTAAGAGTGAAACTTCGCCCGGGGTTTTCACATGAAATGTGAGCTAGCCCTTTAGATCCATAATAGATACATCCCTTCTAATACTACTTATGTAAATATGATAAACCAGACTTTAAGGAAAGAGTGGGGAGGGGAGAAGCAAAATTTATCTGCTAAGGTTAATGTGGCATATCTTGGAAATCTTCCAAAATAGATTATGTTTTCCTTTGTCTTCGGCCACTTTAGCTAGGGAAAATCCTTTTGTCTAAAACCCGATTTAGTTATCGCCTCCCTCGCAGAGCTCCTTTTCTCCTTTGCAAAACCCCGTTCCCTCGGCCTCACCGAATTACAAGAGAATCTTTAGATCTTGTTCCCACTGTAATCCTGCCGCAAAGGGAGCTGGTTTCCTCCTCATTTTAAACAGACAATCAAAGGATTTGTGAATTTTCTGCGGTAGGTCAAGTACAGAAACGAAATCTCAGCTTACCCCCCTCGCCAACTGAAATTGGGTGAGGGAGTGCGTCACCGCGGGCAGGAGGTGAGGGGGTCCGGGGAGAGGGGTCTCTGGCCCACTGCAGGATTTTCGGGAGGCCGAACCCTTGACCCGGGGCTTCAGAAGGTGTCCTGGGAGGGCTGAAGGGCGAGCTCAGCCCTAGGATTAGGTCAGGAACGCCTGGCAGGTAGAGGAGGGCAGCCAGTGCCTTATAAAACATTAACCCAGACAAAACCGTGTGGCGGCGATTTCAGCCGCAAACATAGAGGAGGCAATGCTCCGTGAAAGCAAAAGGTTCCCTAAAAGGTGTGGGGGTAGGGGCAGGAGAGGGCGAGGGAGGCCCCTGTGAACCTGCGCCAGGCGGGCTGTTTAGTAACCTGCGGGGAAGTCTTATTTTCCCCTCGTAGGCGCATACTAATGAGGCCGCAACCCGAGACAACAAACTGCAGAGGCTGGCGCTGGGGTTCGGAACCAGTACTTAACCCCGAGCCCAGCTCGGGGATTTTCAAATGATTCGGGTCGGGAGGCCGTTCCCGGGCTGTTTGCAGCCGACTTGGGAGAACTTCACAATTTTAGAATAAAGACGTTTGCTGGCCCCAAGTGCAGGCTTCGCACCCTTCCGGAAGACCAGATTCCAGACGCGAGGAGGCCTCTGCCTGCTCCCAGGGCTCCGGGAGCGCCCCGGCCCTTCAGCCCCGCACAGCTTGGCGCTTCCAGGCCTCGGCTGGGCCCGGGCGCTCACCGGCCAGCGCCACCCGCGTCCCTGGCTCTCCCAGCAGGTTATTTTCCCTTTCCCCCAGTTTGGCCTCCTCAACCAACAACCCCCATCTCCCTTTCCGCCACTTTTGGGTGGGGGTGTGTGAGCAACGATGAGAAAAATGAACGCGTCGTGCGGGAAACCAGGCAGGATAGCTTGGCTGAGACCCAAGGAGCGAAGGGAAGGTGACACGGCGGAGGGGTGGGTACAGGTGGCTGTGGCGGAGGCTCTCCTAAACAGTCCAGGAGGACCAAAGCATCTGGGCAGTGTTGTCACTCCAGGGAGGGAAACTGGGGCGGGCTAAAGAGGCAGGAGGGATTGACGATAGGCGAGGGAGGGAGAGGAGTCCGGCGGCGGGCGGGGAGCATCAGTGTTTGCAGAGCGGTGGGGAAATCGTTAGATTTATTTAGATGTGCAAACACCCAGGAAGACCCGATTTGAGCTTAAGGGGCGCTCCTGGTTACTCGTTACCAGGGTTTTGATCGCTTGCTTAGGAAGCAGCTTCTGACCAACACATTTTAAGAGTCCAACTCCATGTTTTATTCCGAAAGATCCGCCCTCACCCCCATATTACAATGCGAGTGTGTCTGTCACTGTGTACTTCATGGTGATTTGTACTTTAATGCAGCAAATCACTAAATCACCCCTCTTTTTGTCATGTTAAACCTTGTTTATTGGTGGAAGAATGAAAGAGTTTAACTACCTAAAGTAATTTCAGCAGCAACACTGTTAAAAAAAAATATTACCTGTAAGTAGTTACAGGTAGTATAATCTCTGTCTCAAGTTTCCTCTGCCTTTTTTTTTCATTTTCTTTCTGCAAACAGGTACTATAGCAGATTCCGTATTGATTTTTTAAAACATCAGCCATGGGTATGCAGAGAGTTGTATTTTTTTAGGCATCATCGGAGAAATGATTTCTGGCAAAGCCTGGAAAGATCTTAACGTGGTAGCATCCAGGAGAGAAAGGGGCTGTCTTTGTTAATAGATGGTGCCTGGGAAGTAGAGAAACTGAATGATTGTCTATATCCAATAGGGAACAGGAAATATTTCTTAAGACGGTATAAGCACTTGAAAGTAACTTCAAAAAAAAGGGTATACTTTCTTTTTTTTTTTTTTTGAAAGGCAAGGTTAGGATGTGTAAATGGAGGGCTGGCGCAGGGTGGGGAGGAGGGGAAGCAGAGGAAGAAGGATTGTTCAGGGATGTTGGTGCTGGAAACCATCCGCAAGCAAACGGATTTCTACAGAGGGAAGCAAAGTCAGGGGGCTGGGGAGGAAAATGGCTGGAGAGCCTGGCAGCCAATGAGAAAGCCCACCAAGGACCAGCTGGACCTGGCTCAAAGCCTCAGGTATTCGCTCCTGGCGCTTGCTGGACGTGAGGACATCCTAGGCCTCCTGATAAGGAAGATAATGACACTTTGGGAGAGAAACAGTGTCCCTCACCCCTCTAACCACACTAGTGAACCTATGCAAAAGTTAACCGCGGGGGTTCGGTATCGGCCCCTTCTGGACACAGGCGGTCCTCAAATTCAGCCACTTGGGGTACTGCCAGGAGGGGCGCTCAGCCAGGGCCCTGCCCTCCCTGAGAAACCTGCGCGGGTCTGGGAGGGGGAGTCTGACCTCTACGCAGTCCTTTATAAGTGGAGAGGGCGGGGCCGAAATTTACCCGCTTGCGTCCTAGGCTGTCCTGGTGCGGGCGATCTCCGAGGGTATCGGGTCGTGTGTGCGAACCTGGGGGTGTGACAATAACCGAGAGATTAGACTCAAATTGCTAGCCAGGTCGGCGTCCCATCGCTAAAGTCCCATTGTCTCTTTGTCTCTACAGGACTCGGCGAGGCGTGGGGCCACTCGAGTCGCACCAGCCCTTTGGACAACGTGGGCAGAGAACTGGGCTCGCATTTGCTCCAGGTAGCGGCGCGTCAGCACATAGGCTTTGAGGGCTCAGGTGCCTGTCCCGCACCGAGCTTCTTGATCTTTAGGGAAATGGGATGGGTCCCAGACGTGGCCTTCTTGCGGTCCCTACAGCTCCTTTCAAAATTAAAACGTTGAGCTCTTAACCTCATTGGGTGAGGATGGCACCTCTCCAGGCAGAGAGGGAGGCAAGGTGACAATGAGCACTCTAGGTTTAGAAGGGAGTCCCTCAAGGTCCCAAACCAGGATGGCTGAACCAAGGGAAGTGGCCATTTGACACCATTCCGCCTAAAGAACCGAGCACGCTGGGCCAAGCTGCAAAACCACCAGAAATGAAGGATTTACACAGGAATAACGGGACTCTGGTAGAAACGCCCATCAGTGCTTTCAGTCCACACATTCCAGATCCAGCTGCGTCTGCAACTCTTTCGTCTCCTCCCTGTAGCTTGCGGGCTCCCTCCTCTCTCTCCACGAGCTCTCACCCCAGGCCAGCCCAACCGGCATACAGACCCTAGCCTACACACATACAGCTCCCCAGGTAATGAGTTTACCCAATGTGGAGGCGCCCATTACAGCGTTGTTTGCAGTGTACACCGTTTTAAATTGCCCGTTGCCCGTTTAAGTCGCATAGCAAATATTTAAAATAGCAAAACTCCCAGTGGCATTTTTAGGCTTGACACTTGTCTCCCACCCTCCACCCCCTTATCATTATCCATGTCCACCGCCAGCTCCTCATGTGGGAGCCTCAGACCCAAACAGCACGGTGAGACTCTGAGTGGCTTCTTCTCCCTGGGCCGGGCAGGACCAGCATCTCATGTCTTCCCCTGTGCCGCTGCTACTCTGTACCCGCCTCAGTCCTGGAGACCAAAGAGATTCTAGTGCCACAGAGCACAGAAAGGCCAATGTAAGCATTCCCTCACAGGCCTGGGCTCCAAACCTCTGAATTAAACAGAAAGGCGTTGTCCGTCTCCTTTCTCAGAGACACCTTCGTCAGTTGTTGCTCAACAACACACTCCCGCCATCTTTCCATGCTCCCCTCTAATGTTCCTCATAAAGGAGAGAACAAAACCCAAATAATCTTTCACTCCTTCCAGTTCTTGCCCAGTCTTTTCCCTCTCCATCCCACACTTCTGGAATATCTTAATTATCCTCTCAGTTTCCTCACTCACCCTGCTCCCCTCACTTCCACACCCCTGCAGTCTGGCATCTCTCCTAACTGTTGTGCTCTGTCAGGCTCTATCACCTTTTGATATCAGCATAAAGATGCTCATCTCTTATCCTGCCTGACTTTGTTTATTCCACAAACATAGGAGGGCCAAGTATGTGCCACACAGAAAGTCCTGCCCACATGGAGTTTACATTCCAAGGCGAGCAGCCTTGCCAACCCAGACAGGGACCTTACGTAGTATAACAGGTGCTGTGGAGAAAAGTAAGAAGGGGGAGGGAGGGGCTGTGTTTGAGTAGTACCACTTAAAATGGGGACATTGCAGAGGACCTCACTGGAAAGAGAACATCTGGGGAAATTCCTGACAGAGGTGACACTGCTTACTTGACGTTCACTCTCTCCCTTGGCTTCTAAAGTAGCACAATTTCCTAGATTCTTCTCCCTCTCTACTTGCTCCTCTGGTTTCCCCACTGCTATCTGGCTACAAAAGCTGGCATTTCTCCAAAGTTCCACCTCTGTTTCTCCTCTCACAGCTTCAAGGTAATCTCAGGGTAATCTCAGCCAACACCATCGCCTCAACTTCTTTCCCACATTTGCATGACTCCAGCTGGTTTTCAGTCTAGACACCCTTCTGGAGCTCCAGACCTTTCTCTCTTACTGCCAACTGGAAATCTGCATAAACCTGAAGTTTAGCATCTCCAAGACAAGGATTCATTACTTCCCTCCTCCAGTCTTCCACTCATAGAAAAACTCACCATGCTTCCCTAAATTTTCAGTCTGGGCTTATGGTGTTACCCTCTATTCAATGACCTTGAAGCCACTCTAAGCTTCTCTTTCTGCCACTATAAATTCCACAACTAGAACCATCTTTGACTTAAACTCTCCCTCTTCCTCATCTGCCCGTGACCACCCAATTTTAGGGTCAACCACCTCTGAACTCTTCATCCCCACTTTTTCCTCCTGTAGATCACTGTCCACATTCTGCCATTAAAAAACAAAACAAAATGAAATATAGACACTAGCGTGTGTGTGCACACACCCCTAAGCATGCTATTTCCCTCCTTACCTGCTTAGAAACTGCTGGAAACCTGATGCCTACAGGAACATCTCTGAATTCCTCTGATTGATATCTCAAACTCTCCGAAAACCCGGCACTGGTGTACTTTCTTAGCCCATCTCTGGCACACGAAGTCCCTCACGCCTGAGTACACCAGATACTCCCTCCTGCCCCCCAATCCCTGCCTTTCCCAAGTCATTCCTTCTACCTAGGATACCCTTTCTCTCATCTCCAGTACAAACGTCCACTTCTGCTCAAAGAGATCCTCTGAGGCCCTCTGATTCTCCCCCAGGCCTCTGGCCACTCAGCCTCTTGGCCACTACAGCCCTGTCTCTTTAGCTGTGCTGTCATCATGTCTGTCTTTAGCCGGTCACTGCTGCTGGACTTCCAGCAACTTGAGAGCAGAATCTGACGCATCCTTGTGTCCCCACTGCCCGGACTAAAGCCTCATTCACAGAGATAGGGGGATAGGGAAAGTCTAGGATAGGAGTCTGACAGACTTCTTGGAAAGTCTGTCAGTTTGATGCATCAATGTAAACACACATATGTGAACGCTATACCCCTATGCTTGCAGACTTGCTGCCTGGAAAGCCTCTCATTTCCTAAACCCCCTTTCCCAGATTCTTTCTGGAGCTACTAGGCAGCTGTCTTCTTTCTGTCTCCAAACTTTTCAGACTACCAGCCCTTCCATATGGCTCAGTGCCCATTTCCCAAGCCCTGCTGGTACTCTTTCCATTATAGGATGCTGCCACTATGGAGTCTTCCAAAACTGACACAGGAAACTTTTCATTCTTTCAGTGATCATCACCCCAAGAACCTACCCACCTCTTATTGCAGGCTGTGATCCCTGTCCCCTATATGTGTGTGTGTGTGTGTGTGTGTGTGTGTGTGTGTGATAGATATAGATATCCATTTTGGTGGATCCTGAGTGTTGGAGGGCAGTAGTCTTGCCAGCTACCTCCTCCGGGCATCTCCCAGTGTGCCACATATCCCAGATGCTTACATATTTGGATGAACAAGAGAGGGACTCTTGCCGCGGGTATTCTATGTCCTATGTCCTACCAGCCTCTCTACCCTCTCTGAACACTCTTCTGGCTGAACATCTCTCATGTTCAACTCTGTTTCTATCTCCCTAGACCCTGGATGGCTTCATCTTTGTGGTGGCCCCAGATGGGAAGATCATGTACATCTCAGAGACAGCCTCAGTCCACCTGGGTCTTTCTCAGGTAGGTGAGTGGTCCACACCTCCAGCCTTCCATGTTTACACTGAGAGCTGGAGACCCACAGTAAGGGTCGGGGTGCGTTCCCAAAGCTCTTATATGTGCATTTCTGGGACTGGAAACATCTCAGCTGGCAGGTCTGCGTCTCCCTTTTCCTCTACTTCCCTATTCTCACCCCTTATCCTGCTATGTTTTAGAGTCCCTACCATAAGTCAAACACCATGGGTGGCGGTTGCTTACTAAAGTCTAAAAATGTCTAAAAAAGTCTAAAGATGTGTTCACCTGAACCTTGCCAGAGAACTGCTACTGCTAGTACTACTACTACTGTAATTACTATTATATTATTATTATTATTATTATTTCCTTTCATAGATGAGGAAGCTGAGGCTTAGATAGACTGCAATAGGTAGCCAACCGCACAACTGAGTTAAAACTCAGGGCTGACCCTGAAGCTTTCGCTCCTGTCCTCACAACCCTGTAGACACTCTGGTCCAATCTTCTAGCCCTACCTGGGCATCCCTCTACCTCGGAGAAGCTGATACCCCCCTCTTTACAGGTAGAGCTGACTGGGAACAGCATTTACGAATACATCCACCCCGCGGACCACGACGAGATGACCGCGGTGCTCACGGCCCATCAGCCCTACCACTCTCACTTCGTCCAGGGTAAGCAGCGCGAGCCTCTGACACTTGGGCCCATCTCCCTTGGCTTGTGGCTTTTTCCACCTTGGGCAGGGCAAGGGCGGGGGCAGGGACTGGGTCGCGGCACCACCCATCTCCATGGCTCACGGCCTGCCCCTCCCTCCGCTCCTCTCTCCCAGAGTATGAGATCGAGCGCTCCTTCTTCCTGAGGATGAAGTGCGTCTTGGCCAAGAGGAACGCGGGCCTCACGTGCGGTGGCTACAAAGTGCGTGGCTGAGAGGGACGTTCCCACCCGCGTGTAGGGGAAAAGGGCAGGACAAGAGGAGCTTGCGGCTTGGGAGGGACATTGCTGCGTCCCCGACTGCCCCGACGGCATCCCTTCCCCGACCCCCGCACGCGTCGCAGCGCTGCCTGCCCGGGAGCACCTCGAGAGTTGTAATTTGTGAACACTTGGGGGCTACTAAGTTTTAAGACTTAGTTTCACTGTGTCCGGTTAAGGCCGGGCCGCTGGGACTCTTAATCTGGGGCTCATAATGGGCTTTAGGGGTGTGCAAAGCGTCTGAAATGGTGGGTCATTTTGGCGGATTCTAGAGTTTACGCACAGCGTCAGATTCCGACCCCAGAGGGGTTACGAACCAGAGCTTTAGCTCGAATCCATGGTTCTCCTGTTCAGTGAGATAAAGCACGATTAGAATGCAGGTTCCAGGGCCCCACTATCCGATTTTGAGGAGTTCGGGTCGGCAGGTGTTGCCAGGCCTCTGAATTTTTACACGCTCTCAGGTGAGTACTGTGTGGCAGGACAGTCATTCCCTTGAGACGCTGGAGCTCCAATAACTTTGGACCCCTCAGTGCGGGGGCGGGGCCCACACGGCCTTTGCGGCCCCGGGGAGTCGCAAAGTATTTTAATCCCTTACCCACCTTTTTGTGGAGACGTTTCCTGGTTGGGGCTGAGTCTCTCCCCCACCTTTCACCCTCCTCTGCAGGTCATTCACTGCAGCGGCTACCTGAAGATCCGCCAGTACAGCCTGGACATGTCCCCCTTCGATGGCTGCTACCAGAACGTGGGCCTGGTGGCCGTGGGTCACTCGCTGCCTCCCAGCGCCGTCACGGAGATCAAGCTGCACAGCAATATGTTCATGTTCCGCGCCAGCCTGGACATGAAGCTCATCTTCCTGGACTCCAGGTGGGGGACCGAGGCGGGAAAGGATCCCCCTGGCAGGAGAGGGGTCTTGCTCAGTGGCTGAGAGCTCTTCCTCGACCGTCTGAGCCCATTTTGCAGACGGGGCGACTCACGCCGCCCTGCGAAGCGGGGCGGGCGCCCAGGTCTGAGATGGCTGTCGGGGGTGGGGGGCATCCCGGAGCTCTGAGCTCATCCGCGAGGATTGCTCTCGGCAGAGTGGCGGAGCTGACGGGGTACGAACCTCAGGACCTAATCGAGAAGACTCTGTACCACCACGTGCACGGCTGCGATACCTTCCACCTGCGCTGCGCCCATCACCTGCGTAAGGCACCGCTCTTGCCCGCACGGGACTAAGCTCCGCGCGTCGCGGGGAGGAGAGAGGGCGTGATATAAGTCCGCAGTAAGCGGAAGGGTGGGAGCCCTCATAGCCGGGTGGTGGTGCGAGGCCCTTGCCAGGGAGCGGCTGCTCCAAAGCTGAGCACAACCTTGTTTCTCTCATGTCCGCGGGAAGAGTTTCCGAGTTTCTGGGTAAATTCCCCCCCAGGAGGGTTTTTATGCTTCCCCTCCTGCCCGCTGCAAACCTCACTGAAGACAGGAATAAAAACTGAAGCTAGGCCACTTGGCTCATGTGCACCGATCTGCTTCAGCAGACAGAGCTTTGTTTTGAACTTAATCTCGAGGAACAGGGACCCTGAGCCTTGGAGTTCAGCTGCCCAGACCCCACCTTCCTTAGTTAGAAAGCTGAAAGGGGAAATCCCCCAATTTTAAGCGTCCCCTTTGCCAAATCACAAGGGGCTGGAGGACGTGATGCAAAGTAACAGAACAATCTATTCCTTTGGGAATGTAGGGGTTGTCTCTCCCTCCTGCCTGAGCACGGTTATTAGGGCCCATAGGGACCCGCACTCCCACCGCCAGGGTTTGCATTTGGGCCAGATTAGCCGCTGGATTCTTCACTCCCAGCAGCCTTCTGTCTCTCCCATCAGTGCTCGTGAAGGGGCAGGTGACCACCAAGTACTACAGGTTCCTGGCGAAGCACGGCGGCTGGGTATGGGTGCAGAGCTATGCGACCATCGTCCACAACAGCCGCTCCTCCAGGCCACACTGTATCGTCAGCGTCAACTATGTCCTCACGTGAGTGCAAGTCTGGAACACTTCGCCCACTCCAGGCAGCCCTGGTCTCCAAGAGGGTGCAGGTGGTGGTCACCGCAGGTTAGAGGAGACTGGGGTCCACTGGGGCGCAGGCAGGTTCTGACCCCACTGCAGGCTGTGCTGGGAGGCGGCAGCTTGAGCACGTTCATCTTTATAAAGTTATATTCCAGGGAAAGATTTAGGAGTTTTTCCATCTACAGTCTATATTTGCTTTCTGCTCCCTCTCTCTCTTTTAACCTTTTAAGCGAACTCTGCATTAAATAAAACTTAATGCGGCAGAAAGAAAAAAGAGGGAGAGAGAGAGGAAATGGTCCAACGTACGGAGCCATTTATGGTTAACAAACAGGACATCTGTTTCACTTTTTCAAATCTGGGTTTGAAGTTCTTAATTTTAACCAGAGTCTCCAAAGTTAAGAGTTCTGAGAGAATGATTCTTCCGTTGAACCGCAATGGGGGTTTAAGTGACCAGGCGGGTGTGAATTTAACCTCCAGAAAGCAAAGGGACCCAGGCTAATGCCACGAGTCTTGGCGGGTGCCCAGGCCCCACGCGTTCTGGGACCACCTCAAGAGTTGAGGAGCTGGCCTCGAGGTGCCAGCAACGGGCACAGCTGGCTGGGCTGGACGGCCTTGGTGGTGGCAATGGAACCTTATTCTTTCTAGAAACAATAATCGTTTCTGGTCCGCGGTGTGGCCCGGCAGGCTGATCACGTGGCCTGGTGTGCGGCTGGTGAAAAAAGCGCCTTCTGTATAATGTTTGTGAGGTTGAATTGCTCAGGTTTGAAGCCTTTATGAAGAGCCCTTTTGTGTGCACAGTTTCTGGGTTTTTTTGGGTAGTCACTGAAATTCTTGTAATTTTTAGGGGACCTCAGGAGTTATTTACTTTGGAAGCATTGACACACCCAGCGCTTAGTAGAAATGCTATTTTCTCATTGGGCAGTTAGTCAAGGGTTTCTATTTGGAATCAGACTACACTAATAGGCCACGAGGACTCGATTCATTCCACCTCGTTTTAAATCACCAAATTAAAAATGTAGTGCTTGAAAATATGGTGCTTGGCAATAGACTATTTACTCTGTGCCCTGTTGAATAAGAAATTTTAATTCAATAGACTTCAGAAATGACTTTGGTTTAAATGAGGATTCAGTATTCAGGAATAATTGTTGTTAAGAAGAATCTTTTTATTCCTTTCATTTAATAAATGGCATTAAAATAAACACTGTTGGGTTTTTGTAGTAGCAAGAAAGCTGTGGATTTTAATACAGAGCAGAAAACATACCAATATTTTGGGTATCATGAAATAAAACCGTCTATTTTATGAATGCATTTTTTATATTATCAAAGTCCACATAAGGGAAAATGGCAAAACATAATTCATAAAATAAGCCACTCTGTGAAGCAGAAGTATTAAGGAGTGAAAAATTATGTCTGCTTACCATGGAAAGGAAATGGACATTCTTTAAGAAGGTGCTTTGTATGTCTGAGACATCACAAGCCTTATACACACACTCTGTTCTCTGGTGGGTGCCTGTGGTTAGTAATCATTTTTTATCAAACAGCAGGGTATACAGTCACACAGACCCATATAAATGATCAGAATGCAAGTTAGACCTCCCAATGGGTAAGCTTAATTTACGTTTGGAGTCATTTTGAAATATTCTGTTTTGTTTTCCAGTGGATAAGTGTACTTCCTTTCTTCTGTTGACTCTGTCATTCTTCACTTCACACACTTCTCCAGAGCTGTAGGATTAGGCTACCAACTTTATATCAGATTAAAAAGATGTAATGAGGATAAATGATTTTCAGAAGGAAAAATAGCATGGCTCCTATTTTTCTCGATGTTTTATACCTCGGAATGAAAATGGAAATAAACACACAGAAGCACGCAAGATGAAAAGCTGAAATTGATTACCCTTTTATGAGCCTTGACTCCAATCCTTTGTATGAAAATTCTTAAGACAATTTTTATAGCTGCAAATGTGGAAACTGCCTTAGACAAAATGTCATCAAGTGGCTCTGTGTGTGTTGACAGGATTTTCATAATGAACAGGTTGCAGTTTGTTTGATGTGTATATCACACATCTGGCTGGAAGTTACTAATTTACATTGTCTTAGCAAATTAAATAGATGGCTATTGATTCTCTATGGTAGCAGTGAACTACCACATACATTTGTTTTCAAGGCTAGTTCTCTTTGCAGCCTGAGAATGATAAGTGAATTCTTTCCAAATATACTACCTCAAACAATGTACTTAAAACCACAATTGGGCAGGCCAGATGTTTTCCCAATTTAGACATGTTAGTAGCATACATTTTTCAGGGATTGTCGTATCATGAAAGTAGAGAGAATTTTAAATAAGCATTGGTTAAATGAAGGAGTGACATTGATGGAAGCTGCATTCATAAGAAACTCATTTTTCAAATTTCCTGATGGCCAATTTATTGTTGATGTTAAAATATGCCTACTAATACCCATCATTATTATCTGACAAAAGTGATGATGAATAGAAATATTCAGTAACCTTGTTCTAGTAAGCAGCCGCATCTGCGAATACAGGCATTTTAGAGGCTGAGGTAACCGTCTTTGTAGGACCATCACACACGTGTTGGTGTTCTGAAAATCTACGGAGGACAGGGAGAGGACACTATGATTAAATTTTTAAAAACTCTCTTAGTTTTTCTCTGGGTGCTTGAGGGTCCCTAAAGCTTATACAGCTCTTCATTAAAAGTCAGAAACAAAAACAAAAACAAAACAAAAGACTTCTCTCAAACCAAAAGACTGACCAGTTCGTGGTTTTCTGTAAGACACACATACCTGTTAGCTTTATGTTCCAAATTAAAAAAAAAAAAATCATTCTTGAGTGCCCATAGGCTTTGAAATAAGTGTTCAGTTAGACAGGCCATGCTCCCTGATTATTTTCAGGAGGATAGATGAATGGAGATACTGTCTAGTAACACTGAATGTTGGGGAAAGTCCAGACAAGTATGGAGAGTATAAGGAATTCTGTGTAAAAACTGAGTAATTTTCTTGAATTCATATTTCCTTGGGTTTGTTTAATTAGTAGTACTAATTATTCATAGCCAGTTCAGATGGAAAACATTAGTACTCAATGTGAAGAAAATTGAAATTGTGGAACACCCAATAAACTATGAAAAGTAATTTCTAGAAAAATTAAGAAGAATCTTGATTCTTTTTAGGTTATTAAACTTCATATGTTATAAAAATAAAACTTTTAAAATCTACTTTTAAGGATAAATCGCAAAAGTATAAAATCCCATTTTAAAATGTTTAAGGACATCAATTTTTCAAACATACAGAAAAATTGAGAGACGAGTACAGTGAATACCCACACATCGTCTATAATATAAGCCATTTTTGTTTTATCTCCCTTTCTATCTATATGTATGTCTATCTGTATGTGCATTCTTTCCACTGAATTATTTCAAAGTAAGCCACAGACATCATGATTCTTCATCTTAAATAACATTCTCTTACATAGTCACTGTACCATTTATAGTGGCACATGTGTGTAGAAGGTTACAAAAATGTTCATGAGATCTAGTTTACTGATGCCATTAAAAACAGTCTGTCACTGACATTCATCAAGTACTCACTGATATATGACCTCAGTAGGTTGACTGATAGTTGGTGTTTTGTGAGGGGACTTCCGTGGGATATAGTTGTAAATGCTAGTGTATTTTAAATTAGACTTCTAGTAAGAATTATAAGTTAATACAATTCTGACATTGTTCTCTGGAAAGTAAGAAAGAGAGATTTGAGAGTTATTTTGGCAACTTTGGAATCACAGACTTAATATCTTTAACCATTTTTTGTTGGTGAGGGAGGCTTCTCTGCTTACATCCTAAGTTTAGGATTGAACGTTGTTTTAGTGGAAAATCTCACAAACTGCTTTAGAGTGATTCATCGAACACATAGGAATTTTCTCTTAAAATTCCTATTTCAGTGTTACAAAAAGCAGAACAAATAGACAATTTGAATTAGTGGTCTATGCAACACTACCTGCTAAGTAATCCTTTGCATTTATAGAAAAGTTTGGGCAAAATGCCAAAGGAGACATAATTTCCTTCATGTAAAAGGAAAAAAAAAGGGTCTCTACATTGTAATTATTGCAGGTCCAATATTTTTGCTTTTCTTTTTATAAAACATCTGTAGTTCCCACATTTATTTATTTATTTATTTTAAAAATATTTTATCTTTTTAGTTCCCACATTTAAAAAGGGTCTTTAAGTATTAACATATTCTGTGAATATAAAGCCTTATGTATAAACTTATCACAAAGCAGCAGATGTTAAAATATGTTCATGTTAGTTTGCTCTTTCAAGTGTATTAATAGTGCTGAGTGAAGTTCAGCATTTAAATTAAAAATTATTTTTTATTAATTTAAATTGTTATTACTACTAGGAAAGTTTAGAAAATGTTTTTTAAAAACTTGACCAATAATATATAAAGTTATAGAAATAGATTTTATTACTCTAACAAAACCATTTTTTATATTATAAATAATGTCAAATGAAGTGCCTTTTGACTTAGCAAGCCATAGCAAAATATAAAATAATTTACTCTCATGCCTTGGATTTGTGGAGCACTTGTTGCTTAGATTTAATTTTTTTATCATTAAAAATAATAATCATGCTCTAATGTATACCCGTAAATTAGATTGATCCTTAATTGTGTTTAATCTTTATTATAATAATATTGAACATCAAAGCCCCAGTTGTCCTTTTCAAATGATCTTTTAAGTAAGTGACTGATTATAGAAATGAATTGAAGACACATTTGTATGAATGGTAATTTATAACAGTAAAGACTATTAATAGTAATTAATAGTGATTTTGTAACTACTAAAACACTTTATTAAAAGAAAGAGCTCGGGGATTTAGTCTGTTTTATAGTTCATACCACCAGTACTCACTTAAATAATGTTATCCTTCATATCCTTTTTACTTATTGTAATTTTTTTATCA